CTAATACCCCCCCCCCCCCCCCCCCCACCACCCAAAAAAAACCCAACATAAATTTAAATAATTAATAAAAAAATGTTCTGCCTCCTTATCGAAACTCGAGTAATAAGCAACAAGTCCACACATCACCACCACCACATAAATTTAAATAATTAATCAAAAAATATGTTCTGCCTCCTTGTCGAAACTCGAGTAATAAGCAACAAGTCCACACATCATGAGCACCTTTTTCAGTTAATATTATAAATAGTGAGTAAATAAAATACATACACATAATTTGAAGCACCTAATACATAAGAAAGAGGTTGTTCATGGGCATGTATACATGCACACCTAGTTATAGGAATTTATACCACATACAGCTGCACTGTTCAACAGGATAACCTTAACTTTTTATTGGAATCTAAGCCATAGAGCCCACATGGACAAAAAAATAGTTTCAAGATTTATAGATTATGCAGCACATGGTATCTAAGTCAAGTATAGGGAGTCCCAGAAACTAATTTTCTGCTTTGGTTAACCCACAATGTATGGGTTCTAAAATTTATTTGTGCTCATATGTTTCAAACATCTTAGATCACAATGAACAATTTATATCGCCAATCTGGTTCCAAAGATGCATTTACATAAACATGAGTAACCTCTTGTACTACAGCATGCATAGTTTGTAGTATTACCCAGAGAAAGGCCTTCCCAGAAAATGACCCACTCTACTTTCACCAGAGCATGCAAAGCTTCAAGGTTCCTCCCTCAAAAATGCTAGTATGATAGATAAAATAAATAAACTCCCATCTCAGATTTAAATAACTAAAGCACAAGAATATGCATCCTTCATTAACTGATTCAGCATAGCTCCACATAATTATGCAAAGTTTATATATTAAATGCACATATTAAGCATACTCAAACTGGAATGTAGCTTAAAATTTCAAATTTCAAGCATGTAGGGAAGAAAGCACCTAGGCCTCTGCAGTTCCATCCGTTTACTACCAATTGAAACACAGTTATGAACCATAATTGACAAAATACCAAAAGCAAAATGTATGGACTAACCTTACGTTTTGAATAAATAAGCAAAAGGAGAATACAGTCTCCGTATTAACATATATTTAGTACCAAAAACAGATTAAGTATCCAGGTTTACGTTACAATTAAGAGAATAAATAAAGCTATGACATATTGAATACCAGCTGAAACTTTCAAACGATCGAGCAGAAAAATAACTACAGGCAGTGGTGTAGCCAGGAATTGGAGCTTAGGGGACACTCTTGTTTCTTCTCTTGAGAAAATTCTAAAACAATTATATCAATAATTATATTTCGATAATGTTATTAAAAAATTTTGACAGAGAGAATAGGGTGGCAAACTCAAACACCAACCAAATTTTATATAAGAAATGATTTTTTGAAAAATAAAAAATATTCCCAATTCCAAAAGCTTAGTCAAAATTAATACAACCAACTCCCAAAAAATAATGACATCAAGCTTGAAAATGACATTTACAAGCTACCCCAATGTGTTGTCATTTCTCGAAATGATTACATAATTGCATCGTCACTAATAGTATCAAAAGCATCATATTCAACATATGTTACTCAGTTGTTATTCATCAATTGATCTCTCATCTAATTACACAGCTTAAATTTCAATATTGTACAGGTGAGTGGAAATATAATTTTTTACGCATGTTGCCTTTCATTGGAGAATAAGATCAATACCACCATCTGAACTTTTGTAGAGTAGATGATACCTTGACGATGACACAAATTACAAATCATGTACCATCTCATGTTGTCGGTTTCATGTGAGTTATCATTAAAAGATTTAGGAGGAGATAAATTTTCATAGAAATCAATGCTTAACAATTTAAGTTTTTGGATCAATCTTATTCATCTTATCCAAAGAAGTTTGAGTTCTTATGAAGAAATTAGATATAATTGTTTTGTTTTTGCTTTCTCCGTCTTTAGAATTCTATAGGCTAAAGTTCAAGTTGTTGGTGTTTTTGTCGTTATTATTAATATTGATAATGAGATGTGAATCATGTTGGTCAATGATGATTCTTGTTTCAATTCATTTACGTGTTATTTTGGAAGAATTATTGCCTCTTCTCTTTTTATTTAGTAACTTAGAAAATTGTGGAGTAGGGCTTGTTATTATTAGTAGATCGCTTCTTATTTCTATAAATTAAATTTGTTTATTCGCAGATTTAACTTTTGCTGGAGATGTCTCGTATGAACTTAAAAACAGGATCCACATTCTTAGCCTTATCTAATAGCGTGCCTATCGACATCATGCCACTCTCCAACTTCATGTAGAGGCACAAGTCCGGTGAGGCCTTGAGATACTTGACCCCCTTAAAAAATATTGACTACAGTCTTTATATTTCAAATCTTTCTTACAAAGAGAGGTCATAAAATCGATTGAATACACTGAAACATCGCTTTGTAGAGCCTGTTGTAACAACAGAGATTTTACATGTTGTTTATCATTTTTGAAATATTACCTGAGATATTGTGATTTCACCGATATAACAAGGAAAATTTTGGGATTTACCTAGTATCAAAAAATTGGTCGAAATAGTGCCATATCAGCTTCCAGGCTAACGTCCATTTTAAGGTCACATTTGAGTTTAAGCTCAATTAAAGCCCTAAATACAGACCCGCTTTCAAAAAAATCTTGAATTAGGAGAGCTATAACTCAACTAAGCCTCAACACTTTTCTCGACACTCCGTCGGTTGGCATCCCTTCATCCTCAACTACATGTGGCCACTAATAAGCCCCTTCTCTTTCTTGACCATTCTCTATCTCTCACTTGACAACTCTTAGTTGTGTAATCCTCGGCATTTTTACCCCCTAAATGGAGATAGATCCAGGATTTTTATTTTTTCGTTTGGGAGCACATATACATGTATACATATAAATTACTAACTTAAATAATACAACAGAAAATTAATTTATACAATAATCACAAAGATCTCAGCACATAATTCTTTTCAATATCATTTTCATATCAATACATGATCATTTTCATCACTAAAACTAATAAAACACCACTAAGTTCCAACAATAGCACTTCATAATTCTTTTGAATTTACCAAATTTATTGGCCGTAACTAATAAGTTTCGGTACCCAATAGAAAATTTAAAATTGTATGGCGGCAAGTGCCCCCAAAGACCACTGTATAGATCTGTCATTGCCCTTAAAACATATATTACTTATATGACTTGATATCTCTGTATGCAGGGCCGGTTCTGAGGGTGTGCGGGCTGATCCACCGCACAGGGCCCCCTAAAATTGGGGGGCCCAAAAAATTTTACCCAATCCCCTTCAGCTCCTCTCATCAAGCTCCGAACTTTACCCTAGCCTTCTCCTAACTTTCGACCTCCCCCACCTTCAGCTCCTCTCCTTAAGCTCTGAATCTTCGATCTCCATCTCGATCTCTCCAAAAAATCCTAACCCTAACCCTAGATTTCACCCAATCGCCGGCCTCTCCTCCTCCTCCTCCTCGTTCAGACCCAAACCGATCTCGATCCACGCCGCCTTCTCCCAACTTCCGACCACCCCTCTCTCTCTCCGCCGCCTCCACTCAATTTCTATAACACCAACAATCACACTTCTCTCTGTTGGCAGCAAAGAACCCTTTTTTTCTCGAATCAGTGGAGAAACTTGCGTCAAAGTTGGGGCTTTTAGAACCCTAGACCTCACGAGACCTTCACTAATCTCAAGCCCCAAGTATTGTAGGGTTGTGGAGGTTCACGCTAGCAAAGGCTGTGCATTGGGCGAGTTGGTGCCTCACTGCCTCTGATATCGAGGAATCGGTGAGATATTGTATTTTTGTTGTCAAAGATTGAATCTGTCTTTTTTTTATGGCATTAGTAATTTGATCTGCAGAACTAATATTACTGTCAGCATTATATTTCTCATGTTTGGTTAGTAGCATTGTAATTTGGGAAGGTAACTTACTTACAATTTGCAAAAAAAAAAAAAGAATCAAATCAGCCAATTAGATGTTAATCCTTTATCTTTTATTTTATTTTATTTTATTTTTGAGGAAGATCCATTTGTCGAATATCCGTTTATATCCGTGATCATATCCGATCTGATTCTCAAATATCCGAAATCTTTCTTTCATTTTACAGGTGAGAAGAGGAAAGTCAACAATCTTTTGCAGATTACTCGAGTACCTCTTCCACTTGATTTAAGGCTTCAAATCAGGTTGTATTGTTCCGAATCTTTTGACTTCTTTCAATTTGATTGTAATATTTTTTTATTTTATTATAGAAATGCCTCCAAGAAAGTATTCTTCTGGATATGATAAACGCAAGAAAAAAAATTTGAACAATTTGTCCTAACTCAAAGTGGAGCGCTTGATAAATTCATTGTTAGATAAACACAAGATTTAGTTAAAAATTCAATTAAAAATGATAACATTAATGATTTAGGCCTGAATGAGTATGAGAATGAAAATGTTGATGATCAAGGTAAAAATAAAAATGATAATAAAAATGAGAATCATAATGAAAATGAGAATGAAAATGAAAGAAAAATGAGAATCAGAATCAGAATGAAATTGATATTGACAATGAAAATGAGAATAAAAATATTTTAGGCAATGAACAACCTAATCAGTCCATGCTCATGAATTTGAATATTTATGATCCAAGAACTTGGGATAATTTGGACACAAAATCTAGAGATATATTAGTAAAAAATGGCCCTATAAGAGATCTATTAGTCGAAAAAGGTCCTAAAGATAAATTAGGAAGATGTTTTTCTTCGGCATTTTACACTAGGCATTTATCAAATGGAGAGAAATG